CTTCCTCTCCTCTCCGTTTCTTCTCACTGCATTGGTAGTGATGATCTCGACATACTCCTCCTCGACATGCGGGCGTGCGACAGTAACCCTTCTCCTCCACCTCCACCTGCTCCTCTTCCTACTCCTCTTCCTCGCTCCTCCTCGCTCCTCCTCCTCCTCCTCCTCCTCCTCCTCCTCCATTTCCTCCTCCATTTCCTCCTCCATTTCCTCCTCCTCCTCCTCCATTTCCTCCTCCATTTCCTCCTCCTTCGTCTCTTCACACATCTTCAGCGCTCTCCGCGGCCTGTCAGGCTCTTCTCGCTCTCCTACGGCAGACCAGGGACAGCAGCCAGCAGCTGCGCAGGCAGCAGGCGGCGGTGGAGGCCCTGCGCAGGGTTGCGTCCTCTATGTACGAGGGGAGGATGCGATGTGGGGAGGTAGGGGAGGAGAGGCGAGGGTCGAGCTGACGGTCATGCAGGAGGCGAAGAGAGCAGCAGCTCAGATCTTGAACATCCTCGACATTGATGATTGCGAGGAGCGTGCGAGAGAAAGTATGCAGCTTCTCCTCTCCTGTCGCTCCTGTCCTGCTCCCTCTCTCCTCTCCCTGTCCTCTCCCTGTCCTGTCCTCTACTCGCCTTCTGTACTCGCTTCTTCTCACCTTCCTCTGCCTCTCCTCTCCTTCTCTCTGTCGCTACTTCAGTCTGACAAGCGACTGGTCAGGATTTCACATGTCTCGATACAAACATGTAGCTGAAACTTCATTAAGCAACAGAATATGAAACTATCAAATTATCTTCTCTTTCTCTTCCTTCCTCCTCCTCCCTTGTAGCAGCTCACCAGCATCCGTTGTCCCTTATCTTCGTCCTCCTCCCTCTCCTCACTTGCTCTTGCTCGTGGCGTTCACGTTGCGGGAGATCGCAGACGTCGGTCGCGTGCTCGTCGGCTTGAACAGAGGCTGAGACACGATCGTCCTCCTCTCCTCTACCTGCTTCCCGTCCACCTGCTTCCCAGCTGACCCCTTGCTCCCCTCCAGCACCCGGCGAAGGAACTTGAACGTCAACGTCGCGCTCAACGTCCCCACCACCTGCCCTCTGTGTACGGCGTCGAGGTCGAGGACGCGCTCGAGCTGGTCCCTTGCCGAGGTCGAGCTAGACGCGAGCTGCTCCTTGTGCTGGGGAGAGAGGAAGCTCTCGATGTCTTGTCGGAAGTTGTAGCGGCAGGCGGCGACGATCGTGTCCTGCTCGTCGAGCAGCTGGAAGGAGAGGGAGGAGAACGTTGCGTTCACCTCCTCCACCGCAAAAGTCTCCTGCCACTCCACCAGGTTCTCCTCCTGCTGGCTCAAGCCGGTGCACAAGGAGAGAGAGCAGCCCACAACCTCCAGGCGGCACATGAGGGAGGAGGAGGAGGAGGAGGAGGAGAAGCTGAGAGAATCGATCTTGAGGCTGCCAACCGTCACAGGCGGAGGCACCTCCCCCAGCTGGATGTTGTACTTCATCAGCTCAACCTCCAGCCCCAGCAGCTTCTCCCTCTGCAGCTCCAGCATCCCCGTCTGCTCCCTCTCGATCCCCTCCAGCTCCGCCCTCGACGCGCTCACCTGCTGCTGCAGGCTCGCGAGCTTCGTGTGCAGCTTGAGGGTTCGGTTGCTCAGCTCCTTCTCCTTCGCCGCCCGGCGACTCAGCGCGTCATGCAGCCTCGAGCGCTCCTTGTCGATGCTCTCCGTCACCTCCGTCACCCTCTGCTCCTTGGCGCTGATCTCCAGGTGCATGAGCGAGGTTCGCTCCTGTATCTCCACCAGTCGTTCCGCATGCACATTGGCCGCGTCGTCCCCCTCCTCCGCCTGCCGTTTCCTCTCCTCCTCCATCGCCCTGCTGCTCTCCTCTATCTCTAGCAGCTTCGCCTCCTGCACGGAGAGCTTGGGCTCCAGGCTCTGCAGTCGGCTGAGCTCCTTCTTCAGCCTCGGCACCGCGTTCTGGTTGTACTTGACCACGTTGGAGGAGATCTGCTGCTCAAGAGCTGAAAAGTTGGCGTAGTTGATGTCGTTCCAAGACACGTCCAGCTCAGTCAGCGTCTTGTTAGCGCGGAGGGCGACCACTAGGGCCGAGCCAGTCTTGTCATGGAACATGTTGGACTTGAGCGACAGCTGCAGCAGCACGCCGTTCCTCCCCAGCCCCTGCGCGATCTCGACGCCTCCTCGGTCCCCGATCAAATTCTTCTCCAGGTTCAGCGAGGTCAAGCTCGCGTTCGACTGCAGCATCTTCGACACAGCCACCCCCCCGTAGTCGCCGATCTGGTTGGAGCTCAGGTCGAGGCTCTTCAGCGAGCTGTTCTCTGCCAGCTTCCGCATCAGCATCAGCGTTCCTTCGTCCCCGATGTTGTTCTCCCCCAGCGCCAGCAGCGTCACGTTGCACTTGTTCAGGCTCCCGCTCAGGCTGGTGCAGCCGGTCGCCCCCAGCTCGTTCCCAGCTAATTGCAGCTCCGACAGCAACCGATTGTTCTCCAGCCCTGCCGCAAGAAGCGCCGCAGCCTTGGGGCCGACGAGGTTGCCGGAGAGGTTGAGGCTTCGCAGGAGCAGCGAGTCGGAGGAGAGCATCTTGGCGATGCTCGCGCAGCCCTGATGTCCGACCTGATTGCTCGACAGGTTGAGCGTCTCCAGCGAGGCCCCGGACAGGAAGGCGGAGGCGAAGAGGGAAGCCACTTCTCCTCTGATCTTGTTCATCGACAGGTCCAGATGCTTCACGCGTGTGTTGTGCTCGAACCCCTCCGCTATCGCCCTGCATCCCTCGCTCCCGAAGTTGTTCCCTGCCAGCGACAGGCTCGTCAGCGTCTCATTTCCCCTGAGCGCCCCCGCCAGGTCCCGCGCGCAGGGTCGACCGATGCGGTTCTTCCGCCCGTTGTCCACGAGGCCCAGGTCCAGCGTCTCCAGGCAGCCGTTGAGCTTCAGCGCGGCGAACAGAGCGCTGGCTCCCTCGGACCCGATCTCGTTCGAGCTCAGCACTAGAGTTCGGATCGACCTGCTCTCCGCCAGCATGCCCGCCAGCGTCTTCGCGCCCTCGTCCTTGATCGTGTTGCCCCCGAGGTCCACGTGCGTGTAGGTCGGGTGTGATCGCAGCAGCTCGGCGACGGCGGTCGCGCCATGGCCGCCGAGCCCCGCCTCTCGCATCAACAGCCTGTTGCCCTGCACCTGCGGGGCAGACGTAGAGAGGAAGCGCTCGAGCCTCTCCTCCGTGGGCTTCACGTTGAGGTCCAGCGACTTGGCGGCATACACTCTGATCAACCCCACCACAAGGGAAGACTCCATCTTCCAGCTGGCCCCCACCACCGTCATGTGGGTGGCGTTGAGGAAGGGGTGGGCCCTGTACAAGGGAGCGAGAGACGCCGCGAGGCTCATCTGCATGGAGGCGACTGAAGGCTCGGGGAGCGACCTCCTCGGAGTGAACCTGACTTCGCTGAGGGGTTTCTTGGGGAGGAAGGCAGACTGAGGTCTTGCTGCCTTCTTCGTCCCTCCTCCTCCTGCTCCTCCTGCCTTGGGAGTAGGCAGTCCACCATTCTTGTCTCCCTCCTTGTCGCTCTCTCTGATCAGGTTTGGCAACCAAGACGTCTTGGGGCGACGTTGGTCATCAGAGACCGCAAGGCTCTTATCCACAGCAACATGCTGCGAGTCCTTCTCACGCTTGCCAAGGGGTTGGAGGAGAGGGCGAGAGGTCTCCTTGCTGATCTCCTTGCTGATCTCCTTGCTGATCTCTTGCTCCATGTGAGCTATCCCTACCCCCGAGGTGACTTCTTTCATTTTATGACGTTGACCTCAATCTTGACTTGATCATTCTTGGCAGCTGGAATCAAAACTCGTCAAACAAGCTCAAAAGATTTCCGTCTTCTTTCGCTCTACTTAATATTCCTCATGCTCGTTCTCATGTCCTCTCAAGGACCGCATGATCTGGTACAGATTTCAGGCAATTTCCTTCCATCTTCGATTTTGAACAATTTCATATCACATCTGTCAATATTTGGCGAAAACAATCGAGTCATCGATGTTTCTTTCCCTGAGCTGGCTAATCGCTAGACCGACTATTTCTCTTCTCATCAGCAAGGCTGCTTACAGGATGGGAACGTGTCTGAAGACATACAAACTTTTAATATCCTCCAGGAAAAGGATTTTGTCCTCGAACGATTATTATTGCCAATTCAATCCTCCTTTCATCGGAGTCTTCGTCTTCCTTCCCTGATTTCTAACGTAGCACTCCCCTCTCACTGCAACCTCCTCCTCCTTCTCCTTCTCCTCCTCCTCCTCCTCCTCCTCCTCCTCCTCCTGCTCTCCCCGTTCCCTGCATGGTCACTACCCCCAAACTTTAACCCCCACCCCCTCTTCAGCAATGTCTCGGCTCATACCCTACCCCAGGGGATCCCGACTCAGCCCCTACCACCCGTGACATTCATAGAGCACCCCACTGCCATCAAGGTTCTCTATATGAGCACCGTCGGAATCCTCAGTACCTCACGATCTGCCGCACCCCTCCCTGTTCACCTAACACCCCACCCCCTTCTCAACACCTTTTCAGCAACGACACCCCCCCTCCATGTACTCCTACCCCCCTTCCAACTTATGAATTCGGTCCCCAACTTGCCAACGGACTATAGGCCCGTTGAAAACAATCGAGTCGAATTAATTCAAATCATGATTCAAAAATCGATTTAATTCACAGGCCGAACCCCCGGCGCTTCCAGGACCTTCAACTCAGCCGGGCGGCACTGCAGCGACTCTCAACGACCGGACTAGGACTGGCCCGGCCCGGCGGCCCGGTCTGTGGTAGATGTGAGGCCCGGGGATCGCCGGAGAATGAGCGACAGATTGAAGCTTCTCAGTTCATCTTAAGTTTATTGGTCTGGCTTGTCCTCACATGGTCAGGTCACCTTGATCACATCAGCATGGCACCAACACTCAACTCCACATCGCCTCCTCTTCCTCCTCGTCACAGCACCGCTACAGGCGTCAATGCGCTTCTCCTCCAGCCTTGTGCGATACGGTCCCCACAAACGGTCGCAGCTCCATGGCTTGCATGTCGAAGTACTTGAGCTGATACGAGTGATGAGTGATTGAGTAACGAGCCGGAGAAGGAGAAGGAGCAGGTAGACGAGGAGGGAGGAAGAAGGAGGGAGGAAGGGAGAGGAAGAGGAGGAATTTACCTCATTCGTGCTTTGAGTCCGTGTGATCCAAATATTGCTGTCCTGCTGGTACTGCCATCCTCGCGCTGCCAGCTCCTGCTCTCAGGTGTGAGCGACCGACGGAGGATGGAGAAGCAGGTGACGGAGGCTGCAAGCGGGAGGGGCGAAGAAGACTCACCGTATAGGCGAACTTGACAAGGTTTGCTCTCAGCTCCTGGATAGGCAGGGTGTGACTCAAGCAAGACAAGAGCACGCCGACTTGCCTGATGGGGGGCGTCATGAGGGCGGGAGAGGAAGTGATAAAAAATATAGAACAGCGTCCTGCCGCACTCGTCATTCGAGCAGAGCACAAGAGAACAGGAGTCGTGGTCCTACATGTCGCTAAACTTCTTGAAGAATGCAGTCTTGAGAGCTGGAGGAGTGATGGAGTAACACCTTGGCAGCTGAAGGCAAGTGACTCCCCCGTCAAACCAAAGGAACCCTCCTGCCTCCTGCCTCCTGCCTCCTGCCTCCTGCCTCCTGCCTCCTAATATCACCTGATAGTCTGGCTGCTTCGGCGCTCGGACGTCCCAAGGAGAGTAGAAGGTTTCATAAAGGTTATCAGGAGCGTTGAGATTTAACCCCAATCTTGTCAGATCCGTTCCCAGAGCCAGCAACGTTAGATTGTCGTTGTTCATCCGTATTACACTCAACAGCCCCAACATTCCATATCTTGGCAGTCCAGTAAAAGTCAACAAGGCCCATGACGGAGAGAGAAGAGCTTTCTCACCGATCCGTCTTTTCCTGCGAGCTCATGCTTCCATTTCCTCCTGACAAACCCTACCGAGCCATCACTCTCCTCCGCTGGATCCACCACACCGGCAACTGCCTCTCACCTGACTCTCCGCAAACGCCTGGTTTTCCAGTTTCATGCGCTGGAATTGTTCGACCATGCCCGGGGCCGATGCACCGCCAGTCATCAGGCTGTTGTTGGGACCTTGTTGTTGCTGCAATGACAACGTTCAGCCCAGTCATCCTCCACCCACTTCCCTTGCCTGAGCGCCAGGTAGCGCCGGGAAATCTTCCTCCATAGAGAACTCCTTCTGTGTGTTTAGAGAGCTACTCCCTACTGATTCGCTCCCCTCCAATGGCTGGGAGTGACTTGACTGGCTGCTGGTCCCTGGATTTCTGCCCAGGACAGGAAAGTCGGAGGGATCGAAGGCTACCTGGGAGGGCCCATCGTATCCACCCATCCCTATCTGCACGTTGCCGTTGGGAGCGTTTCCTCGCATCCCACCCCCCATGCCTTGATGAGCAGATCCTCCCATTCCTGCCGCCAACGCAGGTCACGAGGTCATTGGCTGTCTCGCAGCCTTTACCTGATGGGCCATAACCTTGGCCCCCTTGCAGGCCTGCGGAAGAGAGTGCTGAAGTCTGAAAGCCAAGTCGTCAGCTCTACAAGAACAACAGTGAAGTCATGACAGACCAGTCGGCTCGAACTCAAGGACACATTGCCATTACCGCCCTGCATCTGCGTCAGGCGCAACGTGAGAAATTCCATGTTGACATCGCGAGCAAGTCACGAATGGATAGAGAATCAACTCCTTACCCCTCGTCCCATTCCTTGCATTCCGTTCTGCTGACCATCGAAAGAGAAACTCTGCAAGACCACAACTATCAGTCGCAGAGAGGAAGACGCACTTGCGGTACCTGAGGATTCCCTCCTCTATTCATCCCTAACGACATCCCTTGACCTTGCTGCATTCCCATGGGCCCGCGATTCATCTGCATGGAAGGCATCCCTCCACCGATACCGCCCATGCCCATAGTTCTTTGCTGCATGCCTTGAGATACCGGCATCCCGCCGGGTTGTGCCCCCATGATCCCCATGCCTTGCTGTATGTATCGGGGCTGATCACCGGGCCCTGTGGCAGGCATCTGTTCCTTGGTCGCCTGTCTAGCTTTTGCGTACTCTGCGAAGTTACCAAAACGTTTCTTTTCTCCCTCTGCCATGCGATGACTAGCAAGATCTGAAAACAATGCTTCAGACCGGCAGGGAGCTCCGTCCCTTCTCACCTAACCGCCAATATGACGGACAGGACGAGAACAGTCAATTACACCAAGCTGCCAGATGTTTCAGATGAGAACACGGAAAGTGTCTGCACGACAGGACATGAAAAACACCCAGACAATGAGGCATCACGGGAGAATTGAAAAGGAAAGCACACCCAGTCAGAATGATGAGTTGTAGTCGTAACGCGTTGGTGAATTTATGTGAAAGGGAAGATGCGAAAAAGTGCAGGAAGCTCTGGAGCAAGCAACAAGTCCATGAGATGAGATGATGTAGAGGAAACAAGTCAATGAGACGAGATGGCGAGCCGCGCTTGATTTTAAACTTGATGAGCAGAGGCAGAGGCAAGGGCGAAGCCTTGCCCGCAGAAGAATAGACAGGCAAAAAAATGGGGATGAAGGCAGCAGCCGCAGATATGGAAGAACTGGTGCAGGTATCCAAGAAACAATGGAGAGAAAGAGGGAGGAGGAAGGAGAAGGAGAAGGAATCCATGGATATGGTGACACGACCCGAGTGGCTGGGGGCTGGGTATTGCATTGGGGAGAGGACGGAGGGACGGAGGAGGGTTGAGTAGTGAGAGGAGAGGAGTGGAGAGGAGAGGAGAGAAGGGGGGAGAGAAGAGGGAGAAGAGGGAGGAGAGGAGCAGAAGAGATCCGGCAGCGGGAAGATTGGGAGCAGCAGCAGCAGGAGCTGCCAGGGTGCGAGGGAGCATGAAGGCGCGGGCGAGGTGCGAGGGGGGTAGACAGGGGCTCTGGGGGTAGGGGTAGTAGACATTTGATAGGTACTCACGAAAAATGTGGGGTAGGGGGTACCTAATTCAAAATTAAGGCAGATGAAAGAGGGAATTGTATATATCTTGTACTAATTAGAAGAGGGATACATCTTACCTAGTCGTTTATAGAGATTCATGTGGGGGTGGGGGAGCTGAGTAACTAAGAGACTGAATGAAGTGAACAGGAGGGGTGGGGTACCGGCGGCAAGGCAAGAGGACAAGAAATAGAAGAAAAAATAGGGCAGGGGGAAATAGAACAGAAGTAGAACAAAATCTAGACGCGGATGGACTAGTCGGACTACTGAAGTCAGGCCAGGCCCGGCGCTTGACTCAGTGACCGGACTTAGCCTGGGCGGCCTCAGCCACGGTCCGGTTGGGCTCGGCTCGGCTCGGCGGGCCGGGCCCTGGGGCCTCCGACGCGGCCCGCACCCGGACTCTGATCAGAGTCGGCCGGACGGACGGCGGGGCCGTGAGTCCGATCACCGTACTGTATGGCAGACTCAGGCTGTCACTCAGCGGCCGCGACTGAAGTCACCGGGCCCCGGGAGGCCGCCGCTGCCGCCGCTGCCCCGCTGCCGCCATGCCCGGTTCAGTGGACTGAGTCCGAATCATCAAGTCCCGGCGATACCCGGGCAGGAGTCAGGGCTGGTCACCGTAGTACTCGTACTGATTTTTAACTCAGTGACTGGCCAACTACCTTACAGTGCAGCCTTCTGTTCTAAGTTCAGTTGTAGCAAGTGGCTGTGAGTACAGTGTAGAACTCAGTCACCCTGTTCAGCTATCACAGTAAAGAAGTACATGTTGACTCGCTGACGATTACTGTTCGATCAACATAAGTTATTGCTTTCCTGCTGCTCCTGCTGCTCCTCTCCGCCCTCCTCTTTCTCCTCCCGGAGTTCTGCCGTCTCAGTCTACCTCCTTCGCATCATGTATCCTTCCTCCTCTCGCACGTCATGCTTTGCCCGAGGGTCCGGCACTGCCTCCTCGGATAAAGGACGAGCAAATGTTGTCGACGCAGACGTCGAACTCCTGGCCCACCTGACTCTCTGCGAGCGCCCAGCTCAGCAAGCACAACAAGGCAGCACGTCAGACCTGATGGGCTGCTGGAGTCCTTCTTGTAGTTGGTCCTGAGGACATGGAGATGAGGAAGGAGAGGGGGGAGGGGAGGGGAGGGGAGGGGAGGGGAAGGAGGAGGAGGAGGAGGGGTGTGTGTGTGTGTGTGTGAAGGAAGACGAGGAAGTGGTGGTGGTTGAAGTGGTGTTGAGGAGAAGAGGACGTATGGTTGAGAGGAAGTGTGGTAGAGCGAGGTTAAGACTCACAGGAATTCGTTGAGGACCAGGTGTGTGAACTTCTGGACCTGAAGAGAGGAGGTCAGGGATAGAGAAATGGGAGGAGAGGAGCGAGGAGACGAAGACAGAGGGAGAGAGGGGAGAGGGGGGAGGAGGGGGGAGGGGGAGAGGGGAGAGAAGCGAAGCAAAGGGAGAGGAGGGGAAGATACTGTACCTCGACGATCTGTTCGCATGTATGAAACACTGTGATCACGATGCCGTCCCGCTTCTCTGTTACCATCTCCCAGCCCTTCTGCGCTGAAAGTGAGAAGAGTAGGAAGGCGAGAAAGGCAGGAAGAGAGGAGGAGAGTAGGAGAGTAGGAGAGGAGGAGAGGAGGAGAGAGGGAGAGGAGGGGGGGGGAGGAGAGGAGGAGAGGGAGGAGAGGAGGAGAGAGGTGGAGTGGAGGAGAGAGGAGGAGAGGAGGAGAGTGGAGGAGGGAAGAAAAGAGATGTAGGGAAGGTAGGAGAAGGAGATATAGGGAAAAGTAAGAGGAGCATCTGCAAGAGGAGAGGACGACGAAGTAGGAGGAGATGAACGAGGAGGAGGCTCTGCAGCAGAGGAGGGAGACGAGATGTAGGGGAGGTAGAAGCAGAGGTTTAAGAAGTAGGAGGAGATGTAGTGGAGGAGAGGATGAGCAGCAAACCTGATGGCTGTCAAGCGCTGCTGGCTCATACATGACGCGCGAGATGGATCCACAATCCACTTGCAATATGTGAGCAGGAGCAGGAGGATACGGAAGAAGGAGAAACATGCAGTTGTTGTTGTTGTTGTTGTTGTTGTTGTTGTTGTTGTTGTTATTGTCATTGTTGTTGACATTGTTCTCGTTCTTGGTAGGTGCGGGGGGTTG